TTTTTTTTTTTTTTTCCTTTTTAGTGCTGTGATCATCCTCCAGAACTCATTGTTACAGGTGACTGTTAAGGCCATGAACTTAGCTGGGTTTAAAAAAAAAAATTAAAAAACTTTCAGGGGATTTAGAGAATCCCTTTATATTAGATGGAGTTGTCGGTGCCATACTTGAGGGAATAAACCAATAAGTAAGTGGCAAAGGAAAGTTATGACTCTTAAAGGAAGTTTTGCACTTACTTCTGAAAGGTGTATTTATTGGCAGTGAGATAAAATAGTAGAAGAGAATGACAGCTTCTGTAATTCAGTTGTGTGAAGTTTGTATTTTTTATGTTTTAGTTTTAATACCAGGTATAGCTTCATGCATCTATGGAACATGCCTAGTCTGTGGTGGAGCAAAGCTATACCATAGATCTTTGCTTTTCCAGTTAGAGGAAGTGCTTGTTCAGCTTTCTCAACCTGCAAATTGTAGAATGGTTTTGGTTTGGTTTGGTTGGGGGGTTTTAAAATAAATTTTCAGCTTTGGGAATGCTGCCGTTTTGAGGATGCGTCACCTTTGGAAAGCGCATTTCAGCAGTGCAGTGCTATCAAGTAGGTAAAGAAATGTTGAAGAAATGACTGGTGTTGGCTCAGTTGAGACAAATAACGGGGATTTTGTTTTCTGCTCATCGCTGGGTGTTGGTCTCATGAGCTATTCATAACTTTACCAAGCAGGCAAGCGGGGCAGTCGGCTGCGAGAGGGGTCGGGGGTCCCTGTCTCCCCACGGAGCAGCAGCATTGGGCTCAGCAGGTAGTTTCTCGCAGCAGACTGGTACCCAGGCAGCCCCGCTCGCTTGCTGAGGCCCGGGTGTTCACCAAGAGTGACGAGTACGTAGGGTTTAATTTGCACAAAGTTGCAGTGAAGATGAGGTTTGATCCGGTATCAGTCTGGTTTGTATTCCTGATGTATACAGTGCCCTGGACAAGGTAGCAGGGATGCGTTTTAAGAAGTACATGGTTATAGTCAGCTTGAATTTGGAAGCGAAAAGGAGGGGAGGGGAAAAAAAAATCTCAGCTGATATAATTGACTGTTAACGAGAAGGGGAGTTTTCTTGTTCAAATCAAGTATCTTTGCCAGAATTTTTTTTTTCTATGTAGCTGAAGTCTCTTTTGCTCTGTCTCAAAGTGCTTAGTTAAACAATAGCTATTTTATTTAGCAAAAGTGTGCTTCAGGAGATTGCCTTGTCCTGCCTTTTTTTTGGACAAAAGTTCCAAGTGCTTTTCAATATATGAATTGTGAAATATTGAGCTTTTCTGCAAGATCTCTTGAAAATCTATTTCAAGGTCCAGAGCAACAGCTATCCCGATCGATGTGTGCTCTTCTGAATACATTCCCATATAAAAAAAGGTAGAGAAATTAGAAAGTGACCAATAACTTAGATAGCAGTAGGTAAGGTAGAGCAATAAAAGTGAAGTTAATAAAATAAAACCCTGAAATGTACAAAATGTCATCCTACAGCCAGAATAAATTAGTTTCTGATTCCAACTCAGCTGGAAGAAAAAGTGTGTCCCTTAAGTGAGCTGGCGCATATGCAGTTTGTTTTGCTTTGCTTTGGTGTGAAATCTTATTGCCATTAGTAAAGCTGGGTATTGATCTTTTTTTTTTTTTTTTTTTTTACCCCCCCCCCCCCCTTTTTTTTTTTTTGGGAGGGGGGAGGGATAGATAGCATTCAGGAACCCTTCCACACGAACGCCCTTTAATTTTTGGTTTCCACGGCTTCCGTTTTCGAGGCTCTCCAAGGGCACCCACGCGGGAACACCCCACGCAGCCTGCTCAGCAGAGGCTCTGTGCAGTCCCAGCCCACCGCCCCAGCTCCCGCTTGCTGGCCCTACCCGCCCCACCCGTGTTAAAACACCCACGGAACCCCCCCCACCTGCTGAAACCACAAGTAAGATTAAAAACTGATGCTCTACTGCACAAAAGGTACCGTAAAATGTAATGGTGACCTGGTACTGGGAGAGTTACACAGAAAAACCGAAACATTTTCTTTGTCTGCACAGCGACAACGTTTTCTTTCCAGTGAAGGAAGCCACGAGCAGAAGAGGCAGGCGTTGAGGTGGAGGTGCGAAGGAAGAGCTTGAGGGTCAGTTTCTTGCTTCCCAAGCAAAACCAACCAGCCACCACTTCCAGCCAAAAGAAATCTCATATATTTTACTTGCCTTCCACGGACTTGTATATTTAGCACATCTTTTATTGTCCCACTGTGCTTCCAGAAAGTTACTATACCTTAGCCTGAAATCACAGGCTGCGGCATGAGATTTTGGCAACCTCCCTTCTGCTACAGCTGTTAAAGGAGATTTAGCCTCCAGCAGAATCCATCCATCCCATCACTTACGCCAGATATTAAGTGACTAAATCAGCTGTTGGGGTGGTTCCTTGTGCAGCCAAAATGATCAAGTCCCATGTGCAGTCCGCTAGCAAGATCACCGCCTAAGCCAGAACAACACCGACATACTGAAAACCCAGCCAATTACATTAAGCAATGATTACATCATACACAGCTCATATCAGTTTTGCAATTACCAAGGAACGGGCGAAGCGATGCGGGAGAATGAAACAGCAAAAATCCTGAGTTTAGCCCAAGTTATGGGCTTGAGCATGGAAATTAGTGGGTATCTGAATCTTTCATCCTAATTTCTGCAGGAGATGAAGCAATGGAAATCACATAGAGATTTTTGTCTTTGAAATATGTTCCTTTAATACCCCTCAAATAGTAATCCTTAAATGCATTACTTCTTGCCTTCTCAGGGTTTAAGTGGATTTAAAATAATTCCTGGACCTTGTGCAGTCCCTTTATGGATAAATACCTTTTCTCCTCTATACCTGCAGGTATTTTGCTAAACAAGTTTCATGGTGGGGTGCATTAGAAATACCCAGACGGGCAATGCCAAGATCTGTGGTACTATCAGGAGTTGCCAAAGAGATAATTGAGGTGTCAAGAGGCTGCGGTGGGGGAAAAATAGTGAGAACGGATGAACTTTAAGAGCAAACAGACCGTTTTAATTCAATACTCCAGAATGGGAAAGACAAATAGAGGCACCCCAGCAGAACTGTTTTCAAAGACTGGTTTCTATGAAATCTCAGTAGTGTTATGGGCATATCCCATTTGCCTGAGAATATTTACTTTTCTGTTGGTTATTTGAGAGTCTTTGATGTTTGCTCAGCTGACCCATCCTGATTTCTTGCCCTTTGCTGCCCGTAGGCACCTTTTGTCACTGCATGCCTACACGCTTTACATCCAGCCTCCGTACGGATTAGAGTTGTCTCTTGGGCAAGCCAGACAAAATGAAACCTCCAGGTTTATTTCAGCTGATTTGAACTGCTGCCGAGGCAAGGGCCACACTCCATATCTCGGGGACTGAGTTTAAAAAATCTCATGGGCATAGATCTAGTAAAGAACAGAACACTCAATTGCCATTTGTTTCCAGAAGGTATTTCTCCATTTTCTTAAGGCTGAATTTTATGAAGACTCACCCCATCAAAATTCTAGCCCCAGGCTGCGGTTTGGTTTTACACATGTCTGTGAGGCAGTTTTCCTTCTACAAAAAAAACAAACCCCAAAACCAAACCCAAACCCAAACCCAATGGTTTTAAATCTAGTATGATTGAATGCTGGATTGTGGCCCTTGAGAAAGGGGCTTGGAGTTTAGCAGAGAAGTAGACGATCAAATTTTTTTTTTTTCCTTTCAGGATATGTCTTAGTAAAATGGAAATGTTTCTGTAAAACAAGGACATTTGAGCTCTTTTAGGAATCTATATAAAATACTGAATTTTACAAGACTAATTCAGCTCTGTGCAAGATCGTCCTTTGAGGCATATCCTCATTCCTAGCATGCAAAAGAAAACTGGATTTTCAGCTTCTGTATCTATTGAATAAACAGGTGAGCAAACAAATACAAATCTTCACCCAGTTCCTCCAAACAGATGCCCGAACCACACCAAGTAGTGTGAGAAGTGGTGCTGCTTGCTAGCTTTTGAGGGCAGCCTTCAGTGTGGAAGCCAGGTACCAGCTGGGGATGAAGAGTGACCGGCTTTCTCTCTCCCAGGAGGTGGTTTCATCAGGTCAGGATTAAGGAAAGTGGGAGGGCAGGTTGGAGTATCTTGCAGGACTGTCAGCCCAACATCTTCCACGAACAGTAGAATCACACCCACACAACTATAAATAAGGAAAAATGTGTGCTAACTGCAGTGTATGAGCAGAAAACCCACTATGTGCCTCTAGAAAAAAAAAATCATCTGTCTATTTGGGAAAAATAAAAAGCATATGCTTGAAGCTGTTATCGTATAAACACATGCCTAGGACATGAACTTTTCCAGCATGCGAATAAATTGACTTGTCACTCAACATAGTTTCTATATACTCAAATTTAAAGTAATTAGAGGACAGCTGCTGGGCTCCATTCAGAAATATTTGTTTTATTTTTATAACACTCAGGATATTTTCTGTGTTTTTGGAGGTATAAGATTTCAGTTTGCTACAGTTAATGTAATAGAAAATTCTGTAGTCATTATTGACTGCAACTGCCAACACACAATTTGAGAATTACAGTCCAATGTGGAAAACTGGCGATGGATATCGAAAACAGTTTGTGCTCATACTTCGCCTTACAACCTATGGTTAGAGCCGAGTTGGTTTTCGAGGAGTTACAAGGGGACGCGCCAAGCCGGTTTCAGAGGAAAGCAAACGTCCACAGACCTAGCACTGTCGTCTGCAATCAGTGGCACAAGGAGAGCACATTGGTCAGAGAGTTTAGGCTGGTGTGGTCTGAGAGGAGTGGACAACTGGAAGTTAAAGGTTATGACAATAGACTGGGTAATGTGCAACAACATTTGATATATCTTCCTGCATCTGGAGTACTGTGTCCAGTTCTGGGCTCCCTAGTCCAAGAAGGATGAGGAACTCCTAGAGAGAGTCCAGAGGAGGGCAACAAAGATGATGAGGGGACTGGAGCATCTCCCCTATGAGGAAAGGCTGAGGGAGCTGGGCTTGTTCAGCCTGAAGAAGAGAACACTGAGAGGGGATCTCATAAATACTTAAAAATATCTCAAGGGTGGATGTCACGGGGATGGAGCCAGACTCTTCTCAGTGGTGCCCAGTGACAGGACAAGGGGCAATGGGCACAAACTGAAGCATAAGAGGTTTCAGTTGAATATGAGGAAGAACTTCTTCACTTTGAGGGTGACAGAGCACTGGAACAGGCTGCCCAGGGGGGTTGTGGAGTCTCCTTCTCTGGAGATATTCAAAACCTGCCTGGATGATGTCCTGTGCAACCTGCTCTAGGTGAGCCTGCTTTAGCAGTGGGGTTGGACTGGATGATCTCCTAAGGTCCCTTCCAACCTTTGCCATTCTGTGATTCTGTGATCAGCATGACTACTCATTTCTCATTAGGGACAGAATATTCTCATTACTAAATTGGCCTGCGTGATCCAAAAGTGCTCTTGCTCTCCCTGTGGGCTGAAACAAAGTGCTGCTCTGGGGAGGAGGAGGAGGATGATGATCATGGGGGTGACAAACTCCCAGCCCTCTTTGCTTGGGGCCCTTCGGTGCTGTGCCAAGCACAGGCTGGCGAGATCTGAAGCACAGCCCTGTCCCCGTGTCGGGCAGGGGCTCAGCCCTTCCATGCAAAATGGCTTGATGCTCTCTTTGCAGCTCTGCATCCACATGATCTGCTTCCCTTTTCTTTTCTGTAGAGATATGGGGGTTTACGACTGAAATTGTAGGGGACTCTAAAGAAATCTTGGCGCAAGAGGAACCTGCTGTTTTCCATCAGGAATGGCATCACTTGGTCATGGGGCTTAAAAGGGACCCGAGCGTCTGTGCTTCCACTGACATTGGGACTCCACGGCATTTTCTATGACACCAAGGACACCACTAGATGCTTTTGCCCCTGCCTAAATTTTACCTGGAACTGTAATGGAGAAATGTTTAACATTTTCTTGCCAAGGAGGTAGGGGCAGTGTGTGGCTGGTGTCCCAGCCAGTAGCCAGAGAAGAAAAAGCAGCAGCAGCTGGTACCTTTCCTGTCCCCTCCCCAGGGACCTCTTGGGTGCCCTAGTCTGAGTGTCCCCTAACTAGCAGGATATAACGAGCAGAACTTATCTGGCAGCATCTCATTGCACTGAGTGATCTCTCAGGAATGCAGGTGTTCGGTCACTTAAAAGCTGGAGACTGTTTGTAGCGAAATAACACAGTCCCACCAACCTCTCTGATGGCAGCAGACAATCCCTACAGAGCTACTGGACCTGTGGAGCTGGGTGAAGTCTCCCCCTCCCAAAGATACAATTAACCTCAAAGGTATCAATTCTTTGGGCATCTGTTAGAGCATTTTTGTCTTCCAACATTTACAAGGATTTCCAGTATTTCCTTTCTGGTGTCTTAAATTTGACTGTCTCTAAGATAAGCAAAATCAATTTTAATTTATAGATATTTATTTTAAAAACTATGAAATGCTGCCATCCTACTGAACCAGCTATAGCTGCACTTGCGTTTACGAGCAGAGAGCAGAAGCAGCACGGATGAAGTGCACGGATTGCCTTTCTTTCTGCACTACAGATAATCCAGATGCCGGATTTCTGCAGAACAATATGAAATTATCAACCTTTGACAGAACTGACACATAATATCACCCCAGTACGAAGCCCAGGGCCTCATGGCTGTACAACACTTTCCCACAGGAGATGGGACGCATGAACGGTAGAGCAGCTTACCCTGCTTTATTGAAGCAATATTTCAGTTTTAAGGTTTGTAGCCTCAATCCTGTAGCCTCTGTATTTCACAGGCTTTTGGGAACACTGATGAGAAAACACACATTGCTGTGAATCATAAGGCAATGCACACACAAGCCGGCTCATGCCTTAAATCTGACATGTATGGTATATGCTTAGCTTGTTCATACACAGGTTACACAGTAAACACAGCGGCAAATGATTACTGATGTCTGTTATACTTAAGGCTGCCAAATATTTTCAATTTAATCATCTTCTTTCCTGTTTTCATGTGATCAATTTTCTTAAAAAAATATTCTGTGGCTTCGAATTTCCTCTCTGTGGTTTTTGCCCCTAAATTATTTTCCTAAGTCTTTTTTTACAATGTTCTTTCATCCACTTTTGAAGTGGTGATGGTTAAAAAAGAAAAAAAAAAGAAAAAAAAAAAGTTTTCCACATAGACTAAACCTCCCAAACTATGTGAATCACAGCAAAGTTAACAAGGACATAACCTGCATCGAAGGCTGGAGTCCTCCAGTCACATTTTGATTAATTTTCACGAGTTTTGTCTGTTTTGTTGAGTAGGAACCTTTCATTTTGGGAAAGAAATTTAAGAGATTTGACTGGAAAGGCAGATACTTAGCATTGGTTGTCCTCAGTCCGAAGCCTCCAGATATATTATGCTCATTAAGTGTCCCATTCCTCTGTCTGCATTTTTGTTTCTAAGAAGCAGAGCTTGTACCCTCTTTAGGATGAATAACTTGGAAAGAAGGAATTTACAAGCTCCACAAGTTTATTGGTTCCAGATTTCTTTCCTTTCTTTTTTTTTCCCCTCCACACATAATTTGAGATGCCTTTTCCTTAAAAGTTTAGATAAATATGTTGAAAACATTAATGCATCATAAAGGTCAAAAGATTAAGCATTTGAAAGTCAGCCAGCTTCAAGAATTATTACAGTGAGATTTGCATGATCTATATCCATCTCAAAAGACATAGCATCAAGGACAGCTACAAACTTGCTCCAGCATTTCAATCTGGTTTCTGAGCTGCCTAAAGAGTTTGTATCATGTTTAGTTCTTTGCTCAGACATAAACTAGAGAGAGAAGATTTTACCATGTTATCCAAAATTAACATGAAACTCCCCTGATCTGGGTAGAAAAGGCATGCATAAAATTGAATTAACAGCACTGTTACTGTAAGCCTGGTATTTTCAGGTATGTTGTCAGGCATCTAGAGACTGGGCTTAGACAAAAAAAATCTATTACTTGTCACAGTGGCATAAACAATTTCCGGAAAATAAATAGATTGCTCCATACATAGCAAACTAGCTTCAGGGAAGAACAACCAGTGATGGTACCTTGTAACAACAGCTACTAGGTATGTATTTCCAGCTGAGTTTGATCCCTGTAGATCAGTTCTGTTAAGCTGAAACTACACACCAGTTCTACAGACCAGGATAGGCTGGGAGGGACTTCACCATCTCTTTTGAATTAGAAGGATGGCTATTCTTCCCCTCTTCTCAGTTTAGAGAGTTCCAGGACAGCAAAGCTGTGAGGAATTAATTAATTCTCCCTATTGCACTGCAGCTGGAGTTGGGCTGCAGTACAGCTGTTTAAAAGGGTGATTAAGCTCAATTTTCTCTCTAACCCTTATTTTCTAAGAAAATAAAGGTCAGGACAGATAAATGCTCAGTATGGTTGTGGGTAAAATCAAAACTAAGCTCAGCTTTGTTTGGGGGTGAATCTGGGAATTCAAATCACTCCATGATTTCTCACTCTTAAGCCAGGACTAAACCCTGACTCCACTGGGGTCCCTGAGAAAGCTCTGATGGAGACCAGCAATGGCAGTGGGAGCAAGCAGCAGACCGGCTGCTAAAATTGGAATGGGTGAAGAGTATTTCTTTCTACGACAGACATCACCTGGCAGTTATCATGACCAGCAACATGAGAGGTAGGTACTGGGATGTGGTGGTAGAAATCCTCCTCTCTCTGAAGAAACAGCTGGAACTGCTAATTTGCAACTAAGGAAAAAGCTATGGTTAAGACTATTTTCTTCAAACACACCACAGAAGTTGATATTACTGGACAAACTTGTCTCAGATCATCTGTAGGCACATCTGCCTGGGAAGTGGGTTGCTTTAACCAACTCTTAGATTAGAAATAACGTTCTGTCTTCTGCAGTCCCATTTGCTAAGACTCACCATCTTGAATGAGAAGAAGCCACTACAGCTTTTCAGTATGGGTTTTCATATTTGCCCACTACACAGCTGCAGTACTAAGGTATTTTTAAACCGCAGTTTTTCATCATTTCTAGTATTATCATTCAGATCTCCCAAGAACCGTCTAACACTTTTTCCATATCTAGTAGCAAAGCAACTGCAGGCCGGGGAACATCGCAGCATTTGGATGTGTATTCCCAGATATCGTTTGCATTACCTGTGAGAAAGGACCGACAAAGAGGCACTTGTCTCTTCCTCAACTCTGTTTATACCTGAATGAAATTACATTTCTTATTTGGCTGCATCTTTTTTTATTAACCACTTTTCCCCCTTCTCAACAATTAGAACAGGATAAAGGAAAAGGCAAAATTTCTTATGCAAAGCAAAAGCAGTGTAGCCTATGTAGGAAAAAGATGCATCTCTATACATAGCAGGTTTTAAAGAAAAGTTAATGTAATAAAATAATTTACAAAATAATAAATGAAGCACAATGCAGCTTGGAATATGTTACTGATACAGATCTCAACCATTCTCCCTTACAAATTTTATCAATGTCTTCATGGTACCTTAAAAATTATGAAACCCTTACAGTTGCATCTACAAAGTCTACTGCAAGGTGTAGTAAAGAAAAAAAAAAGGAGGCTATTAAAGAAAATTCACCCCTTGGGGAATCTTCTGAGGAGGCAGGAGCTCCTCTCCTTCCAAGAACCAGTGTCCTTGGGGATCACGCAGCACTCGGTGCCGAATGTTTTATGGTCACCACACCCCACCTGGCAATGGGTTTTGGACTGCAGTGTTGGTTGTGGGAGCAGGGTGAG